CCTAGTATTCATATTTTCAAAAAAAACGAACAAGTTATTAATTAAACACGGCCTTCATCTTAAGAATAAATTACATTATTTAATTCTCTTGTGTTTTATTTACCCCAATAATAACACAACTCGAGAATCAGGAAGCTCTTGTAACAAATTTCAAGGCTTTTTCAAGGCTTCTAATATCGGTTAACGACTTCCGTTTGGGAGATAACCGGAAACCGTGGTTTTAAATGTCTTCTTGAGATAAGTTCAAGGGAAAGTTAATCACATACATTCAAATTAAGCTACGAAATGTTTCATTAAAATATTATTTTTTACGTTAATTGATGACGTATTCAATAAAATACCTTGTGTGTATTAAATATAAGAAGATGATGTGTGTGGAGGGAGAATGGTGTACTGTTCCTCTAACGTAAAGGATCCTTCACCATACTAATTGCTGACTGCCCGGCCCGAAGGCCCCAGTAGCAATTTTATTAAATCTCGTTGTCATCCTGAAGGCGTAGCGAGCGTAGCTTGACCGGAAATGGAAATTTTCAAGCCACTAGTGCAAGGTCGTCTCCTGCGAGACTCGGACCTTGTTTGAGGCGGCAAGGAGAGCTGCTACATTTCTTTTACAATTGCATCAATTTTCTCGGCCCCCCTTGGTTTTGCAAGCGGAGGCCATATTGTCTGAACGCCTATGCTCATCAGAATGTTAAATGGAAGAGACTACCTGCCGACGACACAGGGAATCCTGGTGTGGGAGCTGCACTTTCCCTGTATACTTTTTTATTTCACAAGAAGTATAGTTTTAGTTTAAGCATAAGACAGACAACATACATTGTTAATGAAAGTGTAAAGTTTTGAATCGAATTATTTTTCTTATGTGGAAACCACACACCTTCAACATACTCAAAAGCGAGGTGCTATATAAATGTGGAACAGGCTATAAATAGGAAATATTGACTTACCAATAATCCGTTTTAGAAGTAGGATAGCTCCCATCCGGCCACTTCATAAAACATATTTCTCGCTCGCCATTAATGTACCTTGGGACAAAGTTTACGGTCATAAATTAGGTAACCGAAAATTCTTTTGTTTTCTAAAACAGGTATACATATGACTGAATATTATTAAAATTAGATGGCTGTTAACGTAAAATCTTTTTAGTCATAAAAGTTAAATCAGTCTCAGAGTTAAATACTCTGATAAACTTGTAAAAGGCTGGCAACACAGTCGCAAGCCTACTGGCAGTGTCCATGGGCGGCGGTAGATATTATATTGGGTGAGCCCCGAATAGTCATTCAAATATATTTCGAAGCCTGAAAAGCGATTCGAATAGTCGACGATAGTCACGACCGCATTTACCTTTGAGAGTGTTCAGAGGAGTAGGTCAGAGCAGTAGGCAGAATATGAAATTCCACCTACATCACCTTGAGCAACTGAGCATTTTCTAAGGCATTAATTTCGCCCCCCATCGCTATGTGGAACCAGCTGCCCGTCTAGGTATTTCCGAACCAATACGAGTTAGGGTCCTTCAAGAGCTCTTCTCTTACTATACCAATTCTTAAAAGGCCGGCAAAGCATTCGCGATACCTCTGGCATTAAGAGTGTCCATGAGTGAAGGTAGAATTAGGTCAGCGACTACCCTTATTAGATGATATATAAAGTTACTACCTAACTACTACTAACTAGCCCGTTACTTACATATTAGCTGGGCTGAAAAGTTCGTAGGCTGACACATAGATGACGCTACTAGTATTAAATAAATAAGATTTTTAGTTAGCCCTAACCTTTAAAAGACCCGTGTATAAATTAGGCAACTGCCGAACTATTCGTTTGTGAGATATAGTATTTATGAATGAAGGAACTTTTGTTTGTTTAAAAAAAATTATAAAATTTCGTGTTGTTTCAAAAACACGCAAGTGCAAGAGATTCTATAAATAAATAGAAATGAGTAAACCATACCAAGTAGCGACAAAAACAAATTGAATAATAAGAAACACAACATTTTTATTCGTAACATTCCAATGAGATAACAAGTAAATTAAAACTTCGAAAGAAAGTTTTAACAACGTTGGCAGGTACTTAGGTTAATTTACTTGGTCGTGTTGTGACCCTCACAAAAGCTTACTTAGGCGGCCTCCAATAGACATTTTAATTCCATCATATCTTGAAATAATTAATATTTTTAAGGATTTGCAAAGTTCCATTTAAAAAGTTTTGTAATTCTTAAAAATAACGAAAGGAAAAGAAAACTGAGGTCAAATGTTGTAAAACCAATTGATTTATTTTTTTCTTAATAATAAATAAGTAATAGCTTCTAATTTTTTTTGACAATGTCTAGTGACATCGCTAGCCGATTCTTATAATATTGTCTTTTGTTTAAGTTTACAATTTACTAGAAATTCTTAATAAAACCGCGAATTTATTTAAATATACCCGGACAATAGTAATGTATTAAAGTGACTTTAAATAATTCATTATTCCCAGCAAAAATAGGTCAATTTTATATTTAATTATTCAGTTGAAATCCCGTGCTCGAAAGTGTTTTAATTTATTTGATTATATAGGTAGTCATGACGCACCCGAAAAGCCCCCACATCCCTGTTATTTGAAGTTTAAGTTTGTGCTTAGTGGAATTTTGGTTCTGTGATGTGGTAGATTCATTTGAACACTTGTTAGGGTAAGATTCGAGTCGAAGATCAACGCTAAGCATTACTTCCGTTTGTCAAAACGTCCTGGATTTCTCGTTGAAGTGAATGGGTTGTTCCTAAAACTGTCAATGTTATTGAAATTGAATTATAAATATGACAGTTATATGGGTCTAACTGAACTGATATTTATTCATTTATTACAGAAATACATATATTATCCTTACAGACTATGCCAATACGATAATGTCGAGAAACATTAAATAAAATATAATAAACTACATATATAATGTTAAACACATAATATACACAATATCGCTACTGAGAATTCACTCTGCGAACATATAAATATGTCGATAGTGTCGGAGACAGCATTCAGTAGGCGCAACGTCTTAACGGGGATCTGTGCAACAGACTGGTCTTGCCCTTGGTATCGCAAATAACCTAGGCCTTCGCCGTCACACATATCCCATAGGTACTAAGAAACCCAGTTCTTGGAGTACACTTGGGTTGAACACTACGCCCCTCAAGACTTTGATTACGTAGTTAAATATAATAAAAACTACAATCATATTTTTTATATAAATTAAATGTTACTTGTTATCACGCATATTGTATTTTAAAGGTTTGGGTGTTATATAACAATTAAGTTAGTCGGTTTTAAATGTTATCTCAACTAAGGTTCACCTGTATTTATTTATGTTAAATTAGGCTAAATACGCTTGAAACTATAGTTACTAATTATATTCTGAATATGTACATAAATTAATTAAAAGTAATTCTCTGAATTCTCGGAATTGTTCTATAACTGCGAGTGAGTTGAGTTATTTCAAGAAATTGAGTAGGTTATCTATTTAACTATTAATGAAAACGTTCCTGTCACTTCACTTAAATATATTTCTATGCTCTATGGTTATTTAGTTAATTTATTTATATACGTGTTTTTTCAAAATGTACATAACTTCTGTACGCTTTAGTAATAACAGTATATTTTTAACTTAAAATACAACCAGCAAGAATGAATTGATAAAATTAATAATCTTAAAAGCACTTTTCATTGCGGTGTTTTTATGACATAGACAAAAGACCTTCATCTCATTTTTCATGACAAATGTAGACGGTCATAAACCCAGGTACCACTTCCTTGTTTATACAGATTTTATTGCTTTTATTTAAAAGTTTTAAATTTTTAAATTTTTACTTTTATTTAAAAGTATTGCTTACTTTTGATACTAATAATAATAAGTAGCCTTTTAATTCAAATACATAAATTTTCTTTTAGTGTGCCCTTTTTTGGCAAATGCCTCCTCCAAACCCTGCCATACCTCTCTGCACTATGCCACGCTCTGCCATGTACCAACTGCTGTTTCTTTTATTTGGCCTATCCAACGTAGAAGTTGTGTTCCTCTTTTTCGTTTGCTGGGCACCAGTTTATTACTTTTTTGCTCTACTTTTCTGTTCCTATTGCCATACTTACTTTTGATAACCATACATAAAATTAAGTTTTTAGTATTATTTGATTTATGATAAGAGTGTGGTATGGCGTTTCAAGTTCTGACAAATAAATCATACCTAAGCCTTTTTTGATAGATTTATGTTGAAATAGACAACTTTGATTTATTATTACTACGCATTTAGGTTTATTATGAAATCCATGGAAGATGTTCCAGTGAAGGAAAGCTAAAATTGAAATAAAAAATTTAAAAAAATAAATTTAATTTAAAAATTTAAAAATAAGTATACAGATAATGTAAAACGACTTTTTAATAATACATAGAGATTATACATATAATTCTTCAAATATATAATTACTATACTTGTCCGTAATCCTTTAATGAAAACCAAGTTGAAATTGGGAAACAGTGGGAAATTAATTTTTAGCGACCAGAACCGGCTAATAAACTGCTGGAAATTGTATTTAAATATTTTAGAAAGAAATATAACATACGATCAATGATATGAAGCACGGTGAAATATTTTTTTAAATCAGTCCAGTAGTTTATGAGTATATTCGTTAAAAACATACAAATCTCTCCTCTTTATAATGTAAGTAAAGACGACTTGACATAATACATCTATGTTATGTCTTATTATTAAGCTATTAAATCCCACCACATAACATATTTATGTAAAATGTTGCCGAGACAAAACTGATCATGTTCAGGTGGTGGCCACACACACATACACTTTCGCAACATTGGCACGGGCATAAGGTGCAACATATTCATTGCTTTTGTTATACAATAGTTCTTGTAACCGAATTGCAATAGTTCTTGTAACCGAATAATATTCATATGGCTAATCCCAAACGCGCCTTACGTTTTCCTATTCATTTTCCAATTTGCATACGCAAGAAGGTATTAAAAATACTTACTTTTTCTTATAAGTATCAGAGTAGAGTAAACTGGGTATCGCTAACAATGCACTAGCAAACCACACGGTGAATAATGCTGCTCTCGCCACACGACGGCTCAACCTGTGTTGGAGTGGCTTGACTATCGCAACGTATCTGAAAAGGAAATGATTTTATTACAATCATTAACAATTTATTTATAAGATTAGTTGTCAGACGTTCGTAATTTTAACTGAAATAAATGGTTATTAAACGCCTTATGATTAAAGAAAGCAAATGATTCCTATAATTTTATATTAAGGAATGAGCCTTCAATTACAAGGAAATGGGTTTCAATTGTATCAAATAAACTCAGAAGATTATATAAAATAGAAAAGTTAGACTCTCTACGAGTAACCCATCTTTGATTTAATAATAATAAACTTGTTTTTACAAGTTTGCGATATCATGACATTGTAATCGAGTCGTATTAAATCGCTTTAGGTTAAACTGAATTTAGAGTAACTCTTAGATAGTGAAAATATCAAATTATCAACTATTTAATATCCAATTTATAAATATATCTTTATATATATAATTCTTCTGTGAGTGTGTATGTCACTGAACTTCTCTCAAACGACTGGACCGATTTTGATGAATTTTTTTGTGTGTGTTCAAGGGGATCTGGGAATGGTTCACAAATCAGCCCGGCAGATGGCACTGCAGTCGGTACTTTCATACTTTGCTTAATATCCTAATCGCTTTAAATATCATGCAGGACAACGTCTGTGGGGTCCACTAAGTATAATAGAAATTTTCCCATTTAGAACTTATTTTTCTAATTAAATAATTAAGGTAAAATTGCGGGAGTTCCACTAACTACGGTGTGACGTTTTTGTGTCCAAATTCTAATAAAATGATTCCTTTTTGAGGTCCACACTGTATCTTGAATAGAGCTACATCGAACGCAGTAGATTGTAACATTTGATTATGCGTAGCAAACCGGAAATGCTACGCGTATCCTCGCATTTACAGTGTGTTTTAGTATCGACACTAAAATTTATACGACATGGTTGTTATTCATGATAAAAACAACATATCCAAACACTTTTTGATACAGCATTTATTCCTTACTTTGAATTATAATTCAAGGCTCTTAGTAATATTTTAATGCTTGTTTATAAGAAAATTATTAAAGTAATTACACCTATTTACAGCGAACTAAAAGAAGCAATTAAGCTTAAGACAAAACTTAGGACCGTTTTCATTCCTAATATCCTTTAATTTGGGAATTAGCCACACCTGGGCTTCCGTAACATCTGGTTCAAGGAAAAACATTAAATAAAACGGATATAATATGGAAATAAAAGATAATGATAATAATTTAATAATCAATTCTCCGCATTTTAAGAATGTTTGCAATTTGTATCCGTTGTAACAATTTTCGTGTAATGGGTACGTTGATCTTGAAGGAATTTCATTGTAATTTGTTTCTTAGATTGGGCAATTTTGGACGAGTCAACATTTGATTAAAATGAGATCGATATTTCTAATGAAAACGGTAAAAATACAATCTTTCCCCGACAGCTTCACTACGGATTTCAAACTATTTATTACAATATGTGGAAACAGCTCCCAGTGTTGGGCGTTCCAAAGGGATACGCTCTCCAGGTATTTAAAATAAAGGCACTACACTTACTAACAGAAAGCTTATCCATGAGCTGCGATAGCTAGCTTTTATAGCCGTCCCGTACGCTTATTATATATCGTACTAGCTGGCCTGGCGATCGTACCGCCTAACAGTCGATTCTTTATTTTTTTTTAATACTTATTCTGCTATTCGGGACATCGGTCTAGCTAGTAAGATAAAAAATAAAGTTGATAAGACAGCAAATACATTATGTCAAAAAATAAAAAATTTCCTTCCCGGAACCCCTCCACTAACACTTGAACTTTATGATATGGTATTAAAGTTCAAATTGACTTTTAAGTATTATTACGAATATTTTGTATGGGAATATAGAAAAGTGTTGTTTTTAGACTTTTTCACTCAATTTTTTTAAATTTTCTCTCCGTAAGAACCATCCTCGTACTTCAAGGAATATTTTAAAAAAAAGAATTGGTCAAATTGGTCCAGGCGTTGTTGAGTTATGCGCTTACCAACACATTTTGCGATTCATTTTTATATTATAGATAAACAAAAACTACTGCTAGTTATTGAAATTGGTTGGAATAAACTTTCCTAAGAGAGATATCTTAGGATTTATGTTTCTATGAATACTTGAGCAGACTTGTCCCATGACACCAAACGAGTAATCAGGTGATAAATTTCCACAAGATTCTTATTGAACGAATCTTTCAATTAATGATATATGAAATAATCTATGATACGTAATATTATAATTTATTGTAACGACTCATCGGGTTCACTAGTCGCTTTCGAATAGTATTGAATATAAAAATAAAACTTTGGGAAAATTTTTTTTTTTTGTTCTGAGGTCCAATTTGATCGTAATCCGAAATTATTTTGATGTTATTAAATATGGTATTGAAACACGCATGTTTCAATACGATATTTAATGGATGTTTAATAAGACTGTAAAATATTTTACTGCATAGAACGTTTTGCGACATCTTATCTATTCTAGGTAAAGTTTATGATGTCGAAGGGGTAATTTCTGTCTAAACCGAATTTTTAAATTATTTTTAAGATTTATTCGGTTTTTTAAGAGAAGAAAAGACTTTTTCGTAGGGTTCGGATTTGCAAAGTAACTTTAACGAACGAAAACGTTTCAGATCAGATCAAAAAATTTAAAATCAGCTACAACGTTTTTAGGTCTGGGCCTCAGATTGCTGTATCTGTTCCATGATCATTTGTCAATCTAATAGGCAAGTAGGTGATCAGCCTCCTTTTTGGGTCTAAGGCAAGCCGGTTTCTTCACGATGTTTTCCTTCACTGTTCAAGCGAATGTTAAATGCGCACTTAGAAAGAAAGTCCATTGGTGCACAGCCGGGAATCGAACCTACGGCCTCAGGGATGAGAGTCGCACGCTGAAGCCACTAGGCCAACAATAAACAACTTTGACCATAAGTACGAATACTCAAATTTTACGATGAATTTCAGAATAATAACAAATAATGATTGGCATTAGTTCTTAGTTATTATTAACAACACAAAGACACTTTGACAGTGAACTATCAAAGGACTGTGTTTCGAATTAATAATTTGTTATCAAATATGTTTTAATTGGCCAAAGAAGTTATATCAACGGTTAAGTACTAGGCTTTGTCAGTCGTTACAATAAACACTAATGAATTACCGTGGCACTAAAATGTGGGTACCGTAATTAGGGTTTTCACTGCCGTGAAATTAAAATCTAGGGCCAAAACTTTATCTGTTTAGGCTAACATAAAATGTTATAGTGTTACGACTTTTACCTTTGCTGAGTGGTTAAATTTAACTGAGGAATACGTATTTTAGGTATAGAAATCATTTTGAGAATATATACACATACTCTCATCTTATATGAATATTTTGTAACATTTCGTCATTTACGATTAATTATGTTTACAAATTAACAAATTTAATCATTAAAATCCCCGACGTGTCTGCCGCAGCAATAACAAATGATGACTGATACGTCAGACGATACTGATCTTTATAAATTGTACCGAAGAACTTTTTAATAAATCCCTAGCTTTTGGTTCATTATAATATTTTGTTTAGCAGCTACGATTACAAGCTACGGGAACAAAACGTGCTCCATGTGGTATCAAATTATTTTAGTGTAAGTAGTATTATTATTATTTTCTTATGTAGCCAAGTTCACATTTCAAGGGTCGTCTTGCTAGCTTAAATGTCATTGCTTGTGGCGGCGTCCATGCGTCGGGTTGTCTCTCTCCCTAAAATATGGCGAGGGGGCCCATGGCTGGCCATGTGTCATACTCGTGAACGGGTGCTAATTGTGGTGACTGGTCGTACTTGAATTCGTGTTGTTAGTTATTTCGACTATGTGTTTGCGTGTTGTTCCCACTAGAATGTAAGTGCGTGCTCCTATTTCACCATGCCTCCTGCTGATAGAAGACAAGTCTTTTTTTTTTTTTTAATTTATGTTATTATTAATTACTTAAGATGTCATGTGGAACATGGTTGCAGCTCCTTACAAACGTTGTGTAAAAAAAAACATAGCGATTAAAAAGGGTGGCGGAGAGTTTATTGCCAGTTCTTCTCTTCCGTTCTACGCCCTTGATTTGAGTCTGGCACTAAATGTAAAGTTAGAAGCATTTCATATACATTTCTTTTTTTTTTTTTGACGTTCATAAGTGTACATTGTGTTACCTATATGATTAAATTATTTTTGACTTTTGATTGCCTTAGACAGTTAAGGTTATAACACCCCTCTTTTTGTGTTAAGGTTAATAGTTAAAATTATAATAATAACTAATTAAATACTTAAGTATAGACTTCCGAACCTGACTAAAAATGTAGCGCCCACAACGGAATAGATGTTTGTTTCCCGGAAATCTGGTAAAATTAACAGCGCTTAATTGACACAGAAAACAACAGGTATATCATTTAAGTTTTGATGCTAAAAATGCAAGTATCAAATGGATTTTTAATGGACCTAAGCGCTTTGTAGAATTTTACAGTATAATTTATAGAATAATATTTCCAATCATAATGATGTTTCCATGTTATACGAGCGTGTGTGGTTTGTAATTAAAAGAGATATGGAGGTTATTTGTTTTTGTGCTACAGGGAAATTTTTTAAATATTTCAAATTAAGTAAGTCCCTATGGGGTCGACACGTTTCAGCAGCGGTTATGTTGTTTTTTTATTTATTTTATTATAAATTACCATTTTGCTTTAAAAATATATTAATTTATATCTTGTCTGCTTTGAGAAGTTAATTAAAGTATTTTGTAAAGTTTAGAGTACAAAGTTTCGAAAGCTCACGTCTGCAGTATGATAATCTATAATAAAAGATTATGCATTTGATTAACAAACTACTTTTGAAGTAAAACTTGTTTTAGGGAGAATGATGTAAACTTCTTACATGAAACTATTAACCATAAACTGATGTCAATCTGTTTTGTTAGTGTCTTTTTGTCAATGTATCAAATGTAACCAAAATATTTTACTGTTAATTTAGCTTATTAAATCTTAGCTTATCAAAACCTTATATTCTTTAAAGGTTTTGTCTTAATTCAATTTAATGCGCATGATGGTTTACCCTTACCCGAAAAATTTATTTTTCGGAACGTCACGAAGATGTGCAACGTTTTTGTCGAAGAAAAGGCAGAGAGCTATTGAGACCGATTGAGAGAGAGTGAGAAGGGTGAATTACCTTATAGAAAATGTAAAGAGTATTTATGAAATATTAGTATTTTATATTCTATGCAAAATATTTTTTTGACATCTCAAATAACGAATTGTAAATGAAAATGCCTCGTGTTTTTAAAATCGCAGAAATTAATTTAAAAAAAAATTTATAATTTGTATTTATTTTCGTCGAATTTTTAATGTTTTAATGACAATTAAATTCATTAAATTCCTAACATATCTTCCTATTTCCCTCCTTCTAAGTTTTGGAAATCTAAAGTTTTAGATTTGTATAAATATGAACAAGAGTTAAAAATTTGTTTGCCAAAGAAGTTTCACTTCTGACATGTGTACTTTGTACGCACACACTTTTTTTTCATTTTGGCTTAAATAACCACATTCAAAATGCTTTTTGTTGGTTATATAAGCCAGAGTTTGTTTTGCGATTAATTCAATTTAGTTCAAATTGAAACGGAAGGCCTTCGAAGAAAAATTGAAAACGCATCACGCTAACTTGAGCAATAAGATTTAGTTTATTACAAGATTTAGTAACGTCTGAACTCCACAGACGAAAAATTTATTACATATGATAAGCAAAAATAACTTTTGTATCACTAAATATTTTTCTTACATACGCAAACAAATAATATATTTTATAAGCTTCGAGCTAAATGTCATAAAATCTTTAATGAATAGTCGACGTGACGCAATAGATTACACTATGGACATTTTAGGCAGAACCATTCGGGAGTGGCGATAACATTCAAGGAGTGCTATAATCTAGGCGTAGAATGACATATTTTATATGATTATAATAACTATAATTGGTCGCTGATCTTTTCCCTTGCAAAGTTGTAAAATTGTTTACTAACTGTGTTGCAAAATTGATGGAAAGACATAAAAATGATTGCAGATTAGAATGTAGTAGTGCACGATCCTTGTGTATTTGTTCATTAATTATTCTTAGAAGTGTTTTGTTTATATATCATTTTTTACGACAAATTATAAAATGAAATACTTCTAACCTAACTAAATCTGTAGCTACGTAATAACCGATTTTTTTTACGAAAGTGCAGCATTTTGTGCCTGACATGGAATTAAGTAGCATATCTTACTCGCTGGAGAGCGACCTATTTCTGATGCGTATGGGGTAATATTCTGTGATTTAAAAATATACTAAGAAATTTCATGGATAGCAAAAGGTTTTCTGGCAGTTTTTTAAAAATCACTTAATTGTATAATAGATATAAAATCTTTTTTGTTGAAATTTGGCCATACATTAGCTCTAAACAAATGAACCTTAGTTCAAGAACGAGGGTGTCGTACGAAAAAGTGTTAATGGCGCACATAGAATGAAAATTCCATTGCTTCACCCCCCGTTGTACGGTGGGAATGCGCGAGGTATAGCTCAAGGACGATTTGTTTAATATGGCTGTTAGGAAAGCAATTTACGGATGAATAGTACTTTAATTAAAAGATAACAATCTTGCGGTACTTTCTTTAATATCATTGCTTGCAATAATGATGTTGAAATAGTTTTGTATTAATTGAATATTTAATCATAAATCTTGTCTTGGTGTTGTGGAATTAACGATTGCAGATAAAACTATGTTGTCCTTCTTTAAGCTTTTTAAGTAAAGTAAATGAAACATACTTAAATTGCAGAAATTCAAGGAATTCTAAGTATAAGAAGGTAGGTAAATATTTAAAGGAAAATAATAAAAGCATAAAATATATTTGTTTTTAATCAAATTGTAAAACTTTTTCCCTTCGACTTTTACCGCTGAGAATACAATTTACTTACAGTCTGTGGTTAACAAATAGTTTTGATACGAAATATTTGAAATAAAGTTATCGTTCAGTTTCAGCTATTACAATTTGAGATCGCAATACTGTCAAAGGCAAGTGCAATTTATTTCTCCCAACTATCAAAATCCTCTGAGACCGAGAACAACTTTGCTCTTGTTTATGTTTAAACATAATATGGCAAATTACTTAATAAAATAACAACCTTTTAGGTCTGGGACTTGATGTATGTATTAATATCGTGATCATTTGTTTTTTACTTAATATGCATGCCGTTTTCCTTCACTGTAAAGTGTTAGTTCGCGGGATTCGAATTCATCCCTGAGGTCATAACCTCAGGGATGAGAGTCGCACGCTGATGGACCAACACTAGCTCAATAAAATAAAACAGTTTAATATCAGAAGCGCGTTACCTGTCAACAGTAATGGCGACAAGCGTGAACACTCCAGCCGATACAGTAAGGTTCGCTGTGAAGTTGCTTGCTGTGCAGGTCACGGCACCAAACGGCCAATGTGCTGTGACCAAGAACACGAAGTTCGGTGCTCCGTTGAGCGTTGCCATTAGAAGATCTGCCACAGCCAGGTTCACGAGGAAACAGTTCGTCACTGTACGCATACGACGGTGAGCTGAAAATGTTAATTCGTTTTAGTAAAGTTAATTGCCTTGATGGGAAAGAGCCTATAAGCTAATGTATTATTACATTATATATACAGTCGTCAATTGAATTATCTTTAATAATTGTTAAATAATTTTTATATTAAACAACGATGCAACTTAGCTATGATTTGGTCTGTAAATAACAGTTTAATATGCATAGATGCAATCCATAACATAGATGGTGAACATCTTATTGTTTTTTATTCATAATTGTTAACTTAATAAGCGACCCTGAGTGGCCATATGAAGATGTCATTTTGTAAGCGATTATAAGCAACCTTTATATTGTTAGGTGACTTATATTTAGTGGCCCATGTTATTTTAAGATTTTATTATTAGTTTAGATTATTAAATGAATATAATCAAATTACTTTGTGATTATATAGTTGCAAATGAGAACCTAGTTTTGTTATACACCTGGTACCTTAAAGTGCACTTTTATACCATAAAAATGTAGAAAAAAAACAATATTTTAAACAATCAAAAATTTTAAATATGTGCAACTTTTTTTTAAAACAAAACCTATAATTAATAAGCTATATTCGACGTAACTACAATATTATCGTTCCCGCCAAAACGTCAGTTTTTCACTAAAATTTGACACTTGACTTGTCTTAGACGTATTCTCGTCTGTCAGATTCCTTTGTTAAAGTAATGAAAACAGACATATTTTAGTCTTTGACAATTGCTTTAGGATACGTCTTCTTTTATTATTTTGAATGTAAAGTTATACATTAAATCCAATAATACGATAGCAAGGTCGAGGTCGAGGTCAAGTTATTAATGTAGTATTTTAAATTAACATTTAATAATTTGATAAACAGTTTTTAATCTCTTAAATTTTTGAGCATTGCCAACTTTAGTGAAAGTTATAGGGCGTCTTCGCAGTGTTGCCAATTAACTGAAGTAAACAAAAATTGGAGAAAAGAGCGAATTCAATTTAGTAAAAAGCACGTTTCAAAATAACTTGCATGTTTTCATGGTTACAGGATTTTATGAAAACATTACTGCAATCAACTATTAGCAACTAGCGGGATAGTGTAAATTATCAATACAATGTTTAATAAATAGACTAATTAAAAAAAACAGTGTAATTTTCAAAGTCTGGTTGCAATAATCATGGTGTCATGAAATACGGGTTATCCTAACTTGTCGGCCACAGTGCTAGTCTATCTTTTAACCATAAACGATAATTAATAATCACTTTTACTGTATTATATACCAAAAGGCTTGTATGGAACACATCTTGTCGTATATGAAAACGAAACATTGCCTAAATTATTAGGTAAGTTCGGAAGTTTATACAACACGGACCAAGTTTCTAAGACCATTACAAATAATTAGTTGTATGGCTTCCTAACTGAATGCGGTCGCTTATGATTATTAATTTGAACACAATATGTATTTTGGTGTCGCATGAAGTTTAGAAATACATAGCTTTATAGTATTTATGTTTATAAAAGATACCATTCATTTTGTTCATTCTACTTTGTCTGTTATGGTTGTTTAAATATATTAAAGAACGGTTAAGATTGAAAATTTTATTTTATATACTTTTTGAATATAATTCATTTATTCCAATATTAGAGAAATTTATCTTCACTGAAAATTATTTAATGCATTTTTAAACTCTGGTAGTGGATAAGATTATATGTTTACGAAAAGAGTAAACTGATTAAGTAGATTAATTTAAAGGAAAAAAAGTGTTAATACTATTTAAAGGCCGGCAACGCATTTGCGAGCCCTCTGGCAATGTAAGTGTCTATGGGCGGTATCACTCAACATCAGCTGAGTCTCCTGAACGAACGAAATAAAATGGCGAATGTTCAAATGCACAACATTTAGTGCAAAATCCAACTCAAGTTCGTTTTAATTTAATCCATGGTTTTAACAAGGAAGCTGTACCAAATTCGTTATCATAGCTACTCCAAGAAGTGATTATCATATTTATTACATTTAGGTTTAAGAAAATAGCGTAGCGTTAGAAGTCTGTTGGCAAGTAGTTAGGAATAAGCAACAGTCAGTGACGTAACAATAGGGTGGCAGGGCTGGCAAAATGCCATGGGCCCCCGACCCAAGAGGGCCCCTGACCAAGAGATGTTAGGTTCTATGTATGAATGTAAAGTCTCTAATATGCATTGGGCTAGCGTGGGGACTGCAGACCATTCCCTCTCGCCTAAGAGAGAAGGCTTATGGCCATTAGTGGGACATGTACAACGTGTAATTGAGTACGCTGAAAATCTCGAAGTTTATTAAAACTAAACTGAGTACAACGTGTCGATTTTTACTGATAGGGCTCCATCAAAAGAATTTGCCAGGGGCCCCGGATGGTAAAGTTACGCCACCGACAACAGTGATTATAATAGCCATATATAGTAATAATAATAATAATAAAGAATTTTATTCGTTATCTCAAGGATTTTACAATAGCTGATAAGTGATTGGGACCTCCTTTTAAGCGCATAAGCACTTGTGTTAGGAGAACCCGCTCTTCCATTACATAGGTGTACCAACTAATTATAATTTAATTTAACACGTATAGCTAAGCTAAGTATTACAATTTTACAATTTACTAAACATAATCTAAGGTTAAAATGTGAATAATGATATATGTGTGTATGTGTATGTGTGTGTGTGTGTTTGTGTGTTTATGAGAATGAATTTTCATGACTGATTGTAGAAGTTGACTAATTACTAGTGTATTATGATTCATGATTACCTACAAAGGCTTCAGTGTCTTCATAGCTAAATGTTTCTAGGATGTTAAGTAGCGACGTTTTACATTCATGTTTATTCAATGTGTATATATTTAATATTTTATTTAATTTATTATAAAGTTTAGCAGCTTGGCATTGAAATTGTCTCATAGCAAAAACTGATTTAGATCTCTCAACAGGAGCAACAGTATATTTGCGTCTTTTGCTCAGTTTGCGACCATCATATTTAAGAGACTTGTGCAATCTTAAGGTAGTGCAAAAAATGTACAGTTGCCTGACCGATAAGACACCACAAGAGGCATAAAGATCAGAGGTGGAAAATCTATAAGGCTTAAACATCATTACTTTTAGTAAAATTCTTTGTGCCCTCTCCAGATCCAGGAACTTCATCTTTGTAGCACCCCCCCAAACTGGGATACAGTACACTAAAATTGACTGAGCCAGCGATGTGTATATCTGTATTAGTAGATGTTTGTCAGCGATGTGCCTTAGAGTTTTAAATGTCCAAATAAGCTTTCGAATCCTACTTATAACTTGTTCTAGGTGCTCATGCCATGACATTCTTTGATCAACTACCACTCCTAGATATTTAGTGTGATGAACTTTATTTATAGTTTTACATGTACAGTTTACTCTGGTGCTACAGTTATGTATTTTTATTTCTAGATCTGTTTGAGGTTGGGCGCTATTGTATTTAGTGAAGAAAATGTAGTTAGTTTTACTTACGTTTAATGATAATAAGTTTTCTCTTAACCAGTTATCTATTTTGGAAAGCCCTATTTCTGTATGTCGACGCACCGAGTCAATAGTTTTCCCAGTGAAGACAACAGCAGTGTCATCCGCGTAGGAGTAGACTTTCCCACTATCAATTCTTAAATCGCATAAGCTGTTTATGTAGATTAAGAATAAGGTCGGCCCCAGAACACTACCTTGTGGGACCCCATATGTGACGTCAGATTGTTCGCTGATGTATTGACCTATTTTAACTGCTTGCTTTCGTTCACTGAGGTAATCAGCGAACAATGTGAGTGGAATACCCCTAATACCAATGTTCTCTAGTCTCTGCACCAGAATAGGGACAGAAACCGTATCAAATGCCTTTTTTAAGTCGATAAAAACTGTGATACATTTATTACCTTTATCAACTTCATTAACAATATGACAAGATAGTGAGGTAACTGCATCTTCGGTTGACAGACCCTGTCTAAAACCGAATTGTGAGTCTGAAAGTAGACTATACTTCTGGAGGTAGGTAATTAGTCTTTTATTAATTAATTTTTCAAGTACTTTTGATATGGCAGTGAGAACGGAGATTGGGCGATAATTTGAAACATCTTCTCTGTTACCATTCTTGTACACAGGTGTAATAATTGCTTGTTTTAGCGCAGGTGGAAACACTCCCTGTCGGAAGCAGAGATTAACCAAATGAGTAATTATGGGCACAACTAGCTCCCTAGTATATTTAAGAAACTTGGTGCTTATACCATCCCAGCCAGGAGCACTGTCAGTTTTGAGACTCACAATAGTCAGGTATACTTCATGAGGGTCAGTTTCTAGAAGCACAAAAGACGAGACCTGGGAACAGTTGGGTCTAATCACATCTGTTCTATTATGTAACGTCGTAACTGGAATTATCTCTTTAGCTAAGTTTTTACCAATGTTTGAAAAATAATCGTTTACCAAATTAACCGATTTTTGAGGAGAAACATTTAAATTTAGTAATTCTAGATTTTGCGTTTTAGGTTGGTTACGATAAGTGAGGGTATTTATTTTCTTCCACAAAGTTTTTGGGTTTTTTATACTCTTGGCAAGGTCTTCTTTTTTCATATTTACGTTTGACTTTCTTTATTAAACTATTGCAGAAATTCCTATATCTCCTGTATGTAATTTTAAGAATTTCATTATGAGGATCAGCTCGGAATTTTGCTTGCATAGCATTTCTATTACGAATACATCTAACAATTCCTAAGGTAATCCATGGTTTAATAAGGCGTTCCCTATTCGGGATAGCTCTAGTGATAGTATTGGATTGAATACACTGCTTTAAAATAGATATTAATTTATTAGTTAAGATTATAGGGTCTTAGGACCTAGATATCACCGTTATAAAGAACCTTATACATTATTTGTAAGCAGTAATATTGAAATTCTGAACATATTTAGTCAATTCTTTGATACAGCATTAGTGACATTTGATTGAATATATTTCCTGTTTACACACGAACGAAGGCATGTACGTATAGGTACAATGA